AAATCATCAGCCTCTCGTGAACAATGGGTGATGGATTCAGGTGCTACACACCATGTTACCTCTGATGGTGTAAACATTAGTCAATCTGTTGATCTTGACAATCTAGGCAAACTTTTGTTGGTAATGGGGTTGCTTTAGAGGTTGAATCTATTGGCCACTCATCTTTGCATTCATCATCTCGTGTGTTATTGCTAACCGATTTGTTGCATGTTCTACAAATAACTAAGAACTTACTCTCGGTGTCAAAGCTTGCTAGGGAAAACGCTGTTTTTCTAGAGTTTCATGCCCATGAATGCTTTGTTTATGATGAGAAGTCGGGTGCAGTCTTGCTTCGAGGCAGAGAATATGGTGGCTTATACGTGTTTGGTGTGCAATCTATAGGTGATAGTGGTGGTAGAGCAGAAGTTAATTCATCTCAGTTATCAAAAGATATGTATGATCTGTGGCATCAACGATTGGGTCATCCATCGCATGACAACGTAGTTAAAGTGTGTCAAGAGTTGAATGTAAAGCTTCATTCAAAGAATAATAAATTCACTTGTGTTGCATGCCATATGGGAAAAAGTCATAAGCTCCATTTTCCTGATTCTACTTCTGTATATGACACCCCGTTTCAGCTAATCTTTACAAATTTGTGGGGACCCTCACATATTATTTCAAATAGTTATAAGTATTATGTGATATTTGGGTATGCTTGCACAAGACATTCCTGGTTGTATCTTCTGCAGGATAAGTATCAAGCCATTGTTGCTTTTAAAATGTTTCAGTAACTGATCAAGACTCAATTCGATTCATCTATAAAATCAGTTCAAAGTGATTGGGGATGAGAGTTTAGGAGTTTGTCGAGGTATTTACTCAATTGTGGCATCTCTCATCGGTTTACATGTCCACACACCTCTGAAAAAAATGGAGTAGTTGAACGCAAACATCGCCATGTGATTGAACTTGCTCTTATATTGCTTGTACAAGCCTCATTGCCATTCAAGTTCTGGGCCTATGCTGTTGTCACATCTGTGCATTTAATCAAGAGATTACCTACAAGGGTTTTAGAAGGAAAATCTCCCTTTGAGAAGTTGTTTCAAAAGAAACATGATTATGGGCAGCTAAAAGTATTTGGTTGTTTGTGTTTCCCTCATTTAAGACCCTACTTGAAGTATAAATTGGAGTTTCGATCTAAACTCTGCTCCTTTTTAGGGTATAGTCCACAACATAAAGGTTTTCAATGTCTTGATGCTAATGGTCGAGTGTATACGTCTAGACATGTGATTTTTGATGAGCTACAGTTTCCTTTTGCAAAGTTGCATGACAAGGTTTATAATAATTCTAATGCTTCTAGCTTGTCTAGTTCTTTACAGATTGTGGCAGATGTCAACAAATTTTACAATGTGAATGCTAAGGAATCTGATCACAATACGATGGCTAATATTAGCCACTCGATGCCATTCAGTAGTGGTTCCAGTTCTAGTATGGATGCAGCCAACAACAATCAAGCTGAAGACCAAGAAGTTACGGCTGATATTTAGAATGATGTACATGAAACTGATATTTCAAGTAGTGCACATTATGATGTTGCACATGAGGCGATTAATCTACCATAGTCTACTGCTGATATTTTGAGTGGTGCACATGATGATGCTCAAAATGTAGGTGGTGGTTTTGGTACTTCGATGAACACACATTCGATGATGACTAGGAGTAAATGTGGTGTATTTAAACCAAAGGTGTATACCAATTCCTTTGTTGATGAAGTTCCATATGATGTTTATACTGCGATTCAATCACCAAGGTGGAAGGAAGCAGTTCAAGCAGAGTTTAATGCACTTCAGTTAAATAACACATGGAATCATTTCAGGATGCCTAAAGATTGTGCTATAGTTGGCTGCAAGTGGCTGTTTAAAATAAAAAAGAACTCTGATGGGTCTGTTCAACGATACAAGGCCAGATTGGTTGCAAAGGGTTACTCTCAAATTCCAGGTTATAACTTCAAAGATACATACAACCCAGTTATTAAGTTTGCCACCTTAAATGTTGTGCTTTCCATTGCTGTGGCAAGAGAGTGGTTCATTCGACATGTTGATCTAAATAATGTTTTCTTAAACGGTGAGTTGGCTGAGGATGTTTTCATGCAACAACCACCTGGATTTGAGGAGTATGATGTTGATGGAAGTGTTCTTGTGTGCAAGCTTAATAAGGCATTGTATGGTTTAAGACAAGCGCCTAGAAATTGGTATGATAAGCTCAAAGCAAGTTTAATTCGACTGGGGTTCACTGAATCTAAAGTTGATGTTTCATTATTTGTCAAGAAAGATGCAAGTTGTCATATATACATACTTGTGTATGTGGATGATATTATAATTACATGTGACTCGTCGCTTAGTATTGACAGTGTTGTTCATGCTTTGAGTCATGATTTTTCCTTGAAGGACTTAGGAAGCTTGAATTACTTCTTGGGAATTGAAGTTAAGCGTACAAAGCAATCTTTGATATTGTCTCAACGTAAATATATTCTTGAACTTTTGGAAAGGACAAGTCTGTTTAATGCAACCCCTACAACTACACCAATGATTGGAGCTCAAAAAATGACTCAAGAGGCGGGTGAACTATTAAGTGATGCTCGAGAATACCGAAGCATTGTTGGTGCTCTGCTGTACGTATGTCATACAAGACCGGATATAGTATTCAGTGTTACTAAAGCAGCATAATTCATGCATGCTCCACGAGAGTTACATCTAGATGCTATTAAACGAATACTTAGATACTTGGCTGGCACAATAAACTATGGTTTATCATTTTCCTGTAATGGTGCATCACAGGAAGCTGTAGCATTCGCTGATGCTGACTGGGGTGGCAGTTTGGATGATAGGAGGTCAGTCTCTGGTCATGTACTCTTTCTTGGTTCATGCCCTGTAATTTGGTGCTCCAGGAAGGAGAAAATAGTATCAAGGTCTACAATGGAGGCTGAGTACCGAAGTGTAGCTGATGCTGCTGCAGAAGTTACTTGGACAAGTTCATTGTTATGCGAGCTTGGTGTTGAATGTCGAAACGTACCTATTGTTTGGTGTGATAACACCAGCACGGTTGCATTAAGCACTAATCTTGTGTATCATGCACAATCAAAACATGTTGATATGGATGTTCATTTTGTGCGTGAAAAGGTAACAGCTAAACAAATTCAAGTCAATTATGTGCATGTTGTTCATCAATTAGCAGATGGTCTTACAAAGCCACTAACAAAAGGAGCATTTGAATTGTTTCGAGAGAAGATGTATGTTCTACCTTGTTAAAAGAAGAAGATGATGAAGCGGGGAGAATATTGGAATATGAAGTCTGGAATATACTTGTGCATTCCAGAATATACTTGTGCATTCCAGAATATGCAACGTGTGCATGAGCTCCTATTAAGGGCATTGTGTGCGTGAGTCAGTTATGAATATTAGAATCTATTATGAAGTTTGTTAAGAATCTGTTTGAAAGGTAGAGTAAGCTTGAAGGTATAAGCTTCTATATAAGCTAGTTGTAAGGTAGTTTGTAACAGTGATTACAAAGTTTACAAAGCATATTCATATATACTTCAAGTTTTCAACAACATCTTAATTGATTAATTTTTAATTAAAAGGTAATGTGATTTAAAAAAACCTCTCGTTTCGAAAAAATTTGGGATTCCTTTTTAAAATAAAACGTACAGTTCGAGTAGTCGCCACCAATTTTTGATTAGAGTGTGATTGAGCACCCAAAACGTTTTTTTCATTTTAAATAAAAACATGAAGATTATCCTATAATGATCACCCATTAACAGGTAAAGCACATTGCTTAGTTTATTAGGAAAGCTTGATTTTGGATGAAATGTTTTATCATATATTTGCAGATTTTGTTTTCAAAGGTGCCGCCCCATTTGCCTTGGTATGAATATGAATATTGAGCCCATCTGTCACCCCTCATTCATTAAACTATAACCTCATCCTGACTGGACTATACGCTCTATTGTTTTTTTTCTTTCCACGTAACAGCTTATGATTAGTGAAGTTGAACAACATATTCTCATAAATTTGATACATAAAAGTTTTTTATAAATACATTCGGTATTATTGGGAGAGAAATCTCCTTTTTACACGTGAATTGGATTTATAAAAGCATATATACTCTGAGTGCTTGAGCATTCTCAATCTTTTTTACTGGGAAAAGTGGTGAGACTTAGATATCCATATATCATAACTGTATTCTGTCATAATCAGTTTAAAGTATTTTATACAGTAATAACTATGGTTTGAAGTGTTTATATTGATTATATTCTATGTTCTGCAAAACCAATGATGATTATTTGATTACTAAATGCTCTGACAGTGCGTGCAAGTCTGTTTCTTCTTTATATTGTCCCAAGGAAACTGGGGCCATAGATCACATTTTTTTCCTTTCTTTTGTGTTTCTTAAATTTCTCATCCAAAAGTGATCACCAACTTAATTAGTTAAGTTTGGTAGAGACACACCAGATCACATGAAATATTATGCAGATCCCAATTAATTACTTTTAATACTATCTGTCAAATCACATTTAATGTATATAAATCAGGGTAAACTACAAAGTTGGCTACCTTTCTATATTTTAATTTTGAGCACCCAAATTCAAAAACTTGTAAAATGATCATTAAAGTTATGTTTCCTTCTTCAGTTTAATTACGAGTGATACGTATTGTCACGTGATTGATATACTAGTTAGGAGAGTTACCACAATATATTGACACTATTATCAATATAATATAACTTTAGTGATCATTTTGTATGTTTTCAAATTTTAGTAATAAAAATGAAATATTTTTATAATTAGATAATCAGTTGTATAGTTTACCCTATACATTAATTAGGCAATGAAATATTAAAAAAAACAATTACTAAATTTTATACTAATTTTTAACATTGGGAAAGACTCAGAAGACAACAAAGAGAAAAAACACACAAGCAAAGCAAAGGCTGTTGATGGAGGAGTTGGGAGGGCATATGAAAGCAAAGACAGGGGAAGGGCAGTCGATGACGGAGCTGTCGTTCTTATTTTACGAACCCAAACCTCTTTGCTTGACCCACTCTCAAAATCTCGTATAGACAACAAATTAACGTAAGCAGCTGTCTGGTCTCTCCTCTCCCTTTTGCAATAATATTCAAGAGTCAACCAACTTTCCACCTCCATCTTCATCTCATCCTCAGACCACATCTTCAAATGGTTGTTTCTTTGAAAGAAAATTAGCTTTGAGAAATGGGTAAAAAGAGGCAAAGGGGATAATGAAGAAGATCATGGACTGGAATTGCACAAGACTCAACTTACTTGGATCTTGTCAACCGTAAATATAACCCAGAAAAAAAAAGGAAAGTTAACCATCGTTGTTTTTGTTAGTTTTAGAGGGCAATGGCTCATCCATTTTATCGATCACCTTTCGGGGACACGACGTTGACGAAAGTGTTCGTTGGGGGATTGGCTTGGGAGACGCCGACCCAGGAACTGCGTAGCTATTTTCAACAGTTTGGAGAGATTCTTGAAGCTGTTATCATCACTGATAAAAACACTGGCAAATCTAAAGGATACGGCTTTGTAAGTTTTCTCTAATTCCTTCTATACATATGTATTTTTATATGATATATGTATCTGAATAAGATTAATGGAGTTGTTGTAGGTCACTTTTCGTGATCCTGAATCAGCAAGGAAGGCCTGCGTTGATCACAACCCTGTAATCGATGGAAGAAGAGCAAATTGTAACATCGCTTCACTTGGAAGGCCTAGACCTTCACCGCCTTATAGTGGAGTTGCAGCACCACCGCCGCCTACCGTCTTTTATCCGCCATACGGGTACCAAACTTACAGTCCTGAATATGTGTATCACCAAGTAAGTGTTCGAACCTCTTTCTCCACCAATTTCCTCAAGAACAAGTTGAAAATTCTCTTCAAAGTTAAGCTATTGTGGTTCATCAGCTATTGAATGTTGTGGCATTGCAGGGTGTGTATAATCCACAAATTGAGCAGGCACAATACTATCATCAACTTTATGGACCATCATCGTCATCATCAATGGGGTCCCCATATTACTATGGCTATTCTTTGCAAGCTCCAAGGGGACCATTTTCTGCACCACAGCCTCAAGGACCTTCCTATCTTTACTACCCTACTCCAATGGAGGGCTCCTCCTCCACATATCCGCCTCCTCAACCCTTTCCCTCTTCCTCAGGTAAATCTCTTTTAATATTATTTTCGAGTTTCTGTTTACATCTGCAGTCACAATAAACACCATAGGACTTAAAATGCATCTATGATCATAGTGTCTATGTTGTTCGGATTCTTTTTTAGAACTATACATGTTCGACCTATGGATGTTGAAATGAAAAAATATCAACGTAGGATACATATTCATATCCAACATTCAAATCAGAGTCTGAGAAACGTAAATACGAATAAGCTTGATCGACCATGTGAATGAGCACTTGGTTTCAGAGTCCCAAATTATCATCTTATATGCAATGGTCTTTGCTAGCTGTTTTGGTGTTAAAAAACAGTAAACATCTTTAGCTATATCATATCAGTTTCTTAAAATTAGCTGAATGAATCAATTGATTTAATCCATTTGCATGTGATGTATAAGGACTTAACGTGGATGATAGGCTGGCAGATGGGTCCAGGGCCCTCTTTCTCAGTGAAAAATCACTTTCAGGACACAAATACATCAACATAAATAAAGAACCATAACACCATAGCTTTAAATTGTTATACTCGTTCACAGGGATGGGGACGGTCGTCCTCAAAATTTCAAGCTCTCATTTAATTTAGATTTTTTCTTTCTATTTTCACCCCTAACATAAAATCGTGCTTAAGTTCATGTATATATGTGTGCTGAGAATAAAATTTTTATTACTGATTTTGGTTGCAGAATCACAGACTCAACAGCAAACCACCACAGGAACAGAAAGTGGTGCCATGACATCTGAAAGTACGAAAATCTAAAAGGGAACGACACTCATCCCTGCCAAAAGAAACGTTCAAAGCTGTAAAATCTTGATGAGTTTATTAATGTTCTTCGTTAATTCACTCTTACATTCTCAACAATTTTTAGCCATTAGTGGACACTGCAATGTCCCCCCTCCCCTTGCAGATTTCTTCTTCTTTAATTCCCCAAGAAAAGAAAAAGCCATTAATTATTATCTTTTTTCCCAAAGTTTTCATTCATTCATTAAGAGTTTAACATCCTTTTACATGGTTGTATGAACAAGGAACATGCATTCCTTCAACTGAAAAAAGAATTGAATAATTTATCTCAAAATCAATTTTTTCTATGTTCAACATTCCAGTTTCTTAAAATGTTCATTTTCTACACATTTTTGTTCAAGTTCCATGTATACATTTGAACTCGAACAACATAGGTTTTCCATATGATATTCTAATACAACTAAAATTGATCCATGTTTATTGGCATCGGTTATGGTGGAGAAACTCCTTATAGATAATTGTTTTTTTAATAATATAATTCTTAAATTCAGATAATTTATATACTAGATTTTTGTTTGCATTTATTGTATAGATAAATAAAAACATCTTATATAAGAATTTAATGAACTAATTTATACCGGTACAAATAAACATTGATAAAATGTATTTTGATAACCAACTTTCACTATTATAAATTAGTATTGATAATTTATTCAATAAATAAAAATTCAAAAATTGTATTAATTGTTTTTATCAAACAACAAAAAAATAATTTATATAGCATTATCCAAAGCCCAAAAAATAATTTTCTGATTTTATTTTCTAAAATATATAATTATTTTTTCAAAATTTACTTTCAGTGAAATAAACGATGCATTTTCCCTTTAGTCATGAAGGTCAAAGTCCCTAACAGATTTATCTTCATCGTTGACCATCGTTGTCATTCCCTTCCGATCAATATGTCGGCGTTGCAACAGGTAACACTTAGTGTTGGAGAAACCGGGTTATTTCTCACACGAACGTAGTTTCAAAAATGACCTAAAATGTCAAGATCAAAACCACCAAAGGTTGCACAGTGGATAAACCCGTCAAACTATTAAATATTGAAACACAATGGAAAAACCGAATAAAGAACAATAAAGGAGAGAACACACCAAATTTACGAGGTTCGACGAGAATATAATCTACTCCTCGGGCACCACTCCGGATGTTAACTTCGCTATCAGCAAAATATTACAACAAATATAATTCTTTAGAATTCCCAAAGTGAGAGAATGAAGAAAACAAATGGAAGAGAGAATTTGTTTTTTGGGATGATTTCTAATGGAATACTTAGGTCTATTTATAGTTAAGTTTTAAGGACTAAATTTATAAATAACATGATATTTTAGAGACCAAAGATGAAATTCCCATATGCAAAGTTAGCCACCTACCAAAGATGAATTTTCTAATAAGTTGACCACCAACCAAGATGAATTTTTCAATAAGTTGACCACCAACCAAGATGAATTTTTCAATAAGTTGTCCACCAACCAAGATGAATTTTCCAACTTGCCAAATTTGATTTCAAGCCAAAAAATAATAAATCTCCACCTTGGCTTGAAATTACTAAGCCTACTCAACTTCTTCAACTCCCCAAATTTGATGTTGTGTCTCTAATTGCACTCACAAGCGCCACACACCCGAATGTGTTCATACTTTTAGGATGTTAATCAAGTTCAAACAATGACTAAACTTGATTACTGTTACTACCTTGGTCATCTATATGCAGGATTTTCTACTGTCGCAATTTTCTGAAGCATAATCTTTCCTTCTTCAAAGATCTCCCGCACAAAGTGATACCTCACGTCGATATGCTTAGTCCTTGAATGGTAGACTTGATTTTTCGCTAAGTAAATAGTGCTCTGACTGTCACAATAGAGACTAATGTGACTTTGAACAACTCCCAAGTCTTCCATCAACCCGTTAAGCCAAATTGCTTCCTTCACAGCCTCTGAAACTGCCATGTATTATGTCTCTGTAGTAGACAAAGCCACCGTAGATTTCAAAGTAAACTTCCAACTTACTAGGGCTTTAGAAAGAGTAAACAAATACCTAGTAGTTGATCGACACTTATCCAAATCACCAGCATAGTCGGAGTCAACATATCCAACCACACACTGACCAAGTGATTTATCCTTTTCAAAGACTAAACCAACATCCACAGTTTGTTGAACATACTGTAGAATCTATTTCACAACTTGTCAATGTCCTTTTCCAGGATCATGCATATACCTGCTCATAACTCCAACTGCTTGTGAAATGTCAGGACGCGTACACACCATTGCATACATCATGCTCCCAACTGCATTAGCATATGTAACTTTTTGCCATAAGGAGATAACTGAGAACTAAGTTTCAAATGAGAAGCTAGTGGGATACTTACATGTTTGGTATTTCTATTCATGCCAAAACATTGTAATACCTTTCTCAGATACTACTTCTGAGTTAAACAAAGCTTCTCTATCTGTCTATCTCTGCTTATCTCCATACCAAGAATCTTCTTGGCCTCACCTAGATCTTTCATCTCAAACTCATGATTCAACCGAGCCTTTAATTTGTCAATCTCCTTTTGACTCTTTGAAACGATCAACATATCGTCAACGTACAATAGAAGATAAATGAAAGATCCATCTTTGAGCTTTTGCAAATACACACAATAATCATATTTGCTTATAGTGTACTTTTTCCTTCTCATAAAGCTATCAAATCGCTTGTACCACTACCTCAGAGATTGATTAAATCCATATAGCGATTTGTTCAGCTTACAAACCCATTTTTCACAACCACCATCTTTGTATCCTTCTGGTTGAGTTATATAGATCTCCTCTTCTAAATCACCATGCAATAAAGCCGTATTTACATCAAGTTGAGCTAGCTCTAAATTCAACTATGCTACCAAGGCCAACAATATTCTAATGGAGGAATGTTTCACAACAGGGGAAAATACTTCATTATTGTCGATTCCCTCCTTTTGAGCGTAGCCTTTAGGTACCAACCTTGCCTTATAGAGAACATCTTTCTTGCTATGAGATCCATCTTTCTTTGCAAATACCCACTTGCATCCAATTGCTCTTTTACCTTTCGGTAATTGTGCCTGTTTCCAAGTGTTGTTCTTTTGGAGAGATTAAATTTCTTCATCAATGACTCTTTTCCACTTATCAATTTCCAAGCTTTGTATTATTTCTTGGTAAGTGATAGAGATATCATCATCAACAACTAGAAGAGCATAGGCCACCATATCAACAAATAGAGCAGGTCTACGAATTTCTCTCATTGGCCTTGTAACTGCAAGTGGTTCTAGTGTCTCCAATAGTTCTTGGGTTTGAACCTCTTCATCTTCTGATTATTCTATTAGAGTTGAAGAATCAGCTGCATCAACTTCTGGGATCATCGTCTGTTGATTCTCCACCTGTTTTGGAGTATGCTCCAACTGCCGCGGAGTACTACTTTTCTGGACAACTTCATTTGTTACCTTCTTTACTAGGGCATATTCATCAAATGTAACATCTCTGCTACAAATTATCTTCTTGGTGTCTAAACACCAAAGGCGGAATCCCTTCACTCTATGGGTGATTTTCATAAAGAGAGCCTTCTTTGCTATCGGATCAAGCTTGGATTCCTTCACATGATAATAAGCAGTGGATCTAAATACATGTAAGGAATCATAATCAGTAGCAGGTTTTCCAGACCATACCTCCAATGGTGTTTTTCCTCCTATCGCTGATGATAGCAGACGATTGATGAGATGACCAGCATATGTCACAACCTCAGCCCAAAATGCCTTGTCTAACCCAGTATTAGTAACATACATCAAACTTTCTCCAATAGTGTTCAATTCATATGCTCTGTCACCCCATTCTGTTGTGGTGTATTTCTAACAGTGAAGTGTCGAACAATACTATACTTATGGCAAACGTCAAAAAATGAATCACTTTTATATTCCCCTCCATTGTTCGTCCTAAGACGTTTGATCTTTCTACCATTCTGGTTCTCGATCATATTTTTCCATTTAAGAAAAATTCGAAGCACTTTATCTTTAGACTTCATTGGATACACCCAAACTCTTCTGGAAAAATCATCTACAAAAGTTACAAAATAATGGTTTCCTCCCAAAGATGGTTCCTTTGAAGGACCCCATACATCTGAGTGAATATAATCCACAATACCTTTTGTATTATATATAGTGGTGCCAAACTTCACTCTCTTCTGCTTTTCCATAACACAATGCTCGCAAAAGTTCAATTTGCAAGCCTTTGCACCTTTCAACAATCCTTTCTTTGCCAGAATTTGCAAGGATTTCTCTCCAGATGTCCCAACTGCATATGCAACAACTGAGTTATGTCCAAATCATCACCTCCGGAAGTTGTTGTAACTGCTCCAATAATTTTACTACCATGGTAGTAATACAAATTATTTTTTACAAATTATTTTTTTTTGATGCCCTTCATCATCACAAGTGCTCCACATGTGACTTTTAAAACTCCATCTCTCATAGTGACTACTGAGCCTTTGGATTCCAAGGCTCCCAACGAGATGAGATTTTTCTTCAAACTGGGCACGTATCGGACATCAATCAGAACTCTGGTTGATCCATTTTGATTCTTCAATCGAATTGAACATATCCCAACAGTTTTACAGGCATTGTCATTGCCCATATAAACAACTTGTCGACACCGTTTTTCGCTCGGGTAGGGAAAAGACCGATACCGACTCGGGGGTTTTCTCTTTGAAAATCGTTTCGAAATTTGAGAAGTCGCCACCAATCATTTAAGGTGAGATTGGAACACCGTAAAAATTGGGTGATTTTAATAAAATATTTTTTTTAATAAAATACCAAGTTTTGGGGTCTGCAAAAATCCAGAAATCAGGTTCGGGAGTCAGTTACGCGTGGGGAAGGATTAGCACCCCCACAAGCGCCCAAAAATTGGTACCTAGTTGATTACCCTATATTTAAAATCAGAAATTTTGAGTTCGATCTTTATTTAATTTAAAAAATCATTAAAGATGCAAAGTTTGAAAAGGATATTCGTTTATTGAGACCGATAGCATTCGCCTCCGAGCGTAAATGTGGGAGATCA